GAACACTGAATGGTTATCAACCTCTGTCTTTTGTTTCAGGCTTCTTTTATAACAGAAGTAAATGGGATCAGTGTTGGTAATTCATTTACTTTCTTTTTAAAAAAATATTTTATTGAAATTTTGTGTATTGCACATACAACATCTTAGTCCTTTTCATACCCCTACCCCCTCGGCACCCTTACTTTCAAAGTAGGACAGGCAATACTAAAACCAAAGACCCTTATCTACCTCACATTCACTTCCATGGCACTCACAAATTTCAAAGTGGTTGAACGCTTTGTGGGAAAGATGAAAACATACTTTACTGCTTCATTTCCCTATGAAATCTCTAATGAGATTCTGGAACTTTCCCACCCAACTATCATTATAATCCATATGAAAGAAAAAATAAAGTTTAGCCCCTTTATTTGCTTAATTTAACAGTTGCTTCATGTGCAAATCAAAAATCACTGAGCCAGTACCATGTTAAAAACATAGTTGAGAGTGAATTTCATTAGGATGGATTCCATCATAAAGGGAAAGAATGGGCATTCATATTATAGCTGTATGTACAGAGCATGCTACATGTGTATAGAACAACTTATTCTGGACAAGAATGTGTTGTGTAAGTGACTAGAGTGAAGATAAGGTACAAGTTCACAGGCTAAAAATTGGATCTGGTGTCACAGGCCTGCAGTCCTTGCATTTGGGAGATGGAGGCAGAAGAATCAGGAGTTCAAGGCCAACTTCAGCTACATAGCAAATTTGGGGACAAATTTCAGATCTTGTCTCTATATAAATAAATAAACAAACAAACAAAGCAAGCACAGGCCAATATTATAGGCTTTGAAAAACTAACCCAAGTAAACTTTAGAACGGTAAGGTAGCATTTTTTTAATGTAAATAGGTTAATATTTTTGTTCTCAATATGAACAAATACGATTAGTTTCTCGTTGATTTTTTTCTTGTGTATTTTTTTAACATACAATTGAATGTATCACATAAATCTTTTATTTTAAGGCTAAACATATGAAGGTCATTAATGTCTGCCTTATACAATTAAATTAAGATGAATAATAATATGATTCTTTTTTGATTAACAGAATTTCTGACATAGAGAATCAAAATATTGCTAATCTGAAATAATCTGAAAACTGATATCTAATCTTGGATTGTGAGTAAAGTTGAAGACTGAGGCATCATGTCTGCCAGCTCCTGCCTCTGTGTGATCACAAAAGTTTGATTCAGTGCTGCTTTTCAAATAGGACAAAGTGGCACAAAAAGAAATGTGTACCATCAACTGCTTGTCCTTTAATGAAATTCTCTGGTGTACAAATCACTGCAGTGGAATGATGCAATGGGGCATAAAGACCATAAATCAGGCAATATATCGAGTGTAACACTAATTATATTCACTATAAACTGAAATATATATATATCAGATGGCCAGAATGGTACACCGGTGTTCAAAGTCCAAGATGAAAAATGCATTTCAACTTCTCTCCCTATAAAAACTCAACAGTCTGCTTCTGTGTCTGGCATCAAATTCTATATCTCTACCTGTGTTTTCAGCAAGGAAACCCAATTCCTAAAGGAAAGGTCATTATCATTATTAAGTTTTATAAGAAAATCAGTATCTACTTAATAATGGAGACATCACGAATGTCAGACTTAACACACTTTGCAAAGTGCTAATAACTCTTAAGGTGTACCTTGTCTGAAGCTGAAGTCAGTATTGGAAATTTTATACTACTTTCTCTGCCTGAAAGCATGACAAAGTATTTCTGTAAAAAGTATTTCTATAATAGCTAAGTTTAAAAAACTAGCGGTTATTTTACAACTCTGCTTAATTTGGGTTCAGTTTCAAAGTTGGTGATAGTCAAAATTCATGTCATCATTAATAATTTGAACTGCATTCTTTTTCATTTTTAGGACAAACAAAGCATTTATACATGCCTCTGTTTGCAAGTTTTTTATGGTATATATGCTTTATATACATTATTGATGACAGTGGAAATGCTTTTTTCTATATTTCTTTCAGTTCTAGAAT